GTGAGGCTTCTAAACCCATGGATTCTGCAGTGGTGCTGTGGAGAGCCCACATCCTTGGCAATTTCACTGTTCTGTATAGGCTGCTTGGATTTTTTTGTTGTGATGTTTGCTGAAGTAAAATTGGGGTCTCTCATGCCTACGCATGAAGATTTAAATAAAATTCCTCTTCTTCACTGAAGATGGCTTCTGTTTTCTGAAGAGCTATTTTCATTCCTAATCTTATAGAGAAATAATAATTTAAATAATTAAGAGTTTTCTGCTGAATTAAGTATTTAAAGCATACATCAAATGTACAGAAGCATGCACCTCTGCCTTGCCAGCATAAAATCTGAGAAATGAGAGCGGGAGGAATGCTCCACAGGTTTGCTTGCAGGAAAATGTATTTTGAAAGATAGTGGTGTTTTAACGAGCTCACTGGACCTCTGGTAGCTGTTCTGTTATAAAGCTTAGCAGGGCAGTTACTTCCATTCATCGACCTCCGGTTGGGTTCACACGTGTCGGCTCAGCATTATTTATTTCCGAGCGGCTCTGCCGTTCCGCAGATCCTAAGCTGGCAGCCCGCGGTCTCCCGGCCGAGGCGGGATTCGAACCCTCGGTGTCCCTCTGGGATGGGCGGCGCGGTGACGTCACTCGAGAGCATTAGAGCGTGGGGGGCGGGGCGGGGCGGGATCTCCTCACAGATTTCAGAGATTTGTTTGTTTTAATCCGTTTTTGCGGAGTTTAACGCGTCGGAGGCCGTCGGCTGCCTGTTTGCTGCGTGCTCCGGTCAGAATCACTCCCCGACGTCCCCCGCAGCTTCCCCGGCACTGCCGCGCTCGGCTTCTCCTCAGGCAGCGCTGGCTGTGGGGTAACGCCGTGCTGCCCGCTGCAGGCAGCGCCCGCCAGCCCCGCACAGACCGCCCGGTGGGGGTGGGCGCTGTAACGCAAAAACATTCGGACTTAAAGTCACCTGGAGTTCACTGTCAGCAATGTCAGGCTCCTTGTATTCGCACGTGGTTTTAGCCATAGCTGTACAATTGTATCTGCTCAGTTCTGCAGCGCGCAAACATTACCTTCATAGCAAGAAAGCGAGGCACGTTGATGAGATAACAGCTGCGTGTGCAGAAAGGCTGCGAAGTCCCGTGAAAGGCAGATGGAGGTGAAGGTAGGGCTGCACGTGTGCCTGACAGGACTCGTGCTGTCTGAAGGGACGTGGTGAACAAAAACATTACATAAAATGGTTTTCAAGAGACTTACAAGCCTTCTGAGCTGTATTCATTTGAGCTCTGTGAGGCATGCTCAGTTTTTCTGTTGCTAATAATTGGTGTGTTATCTTTCATGTTAGCTTTCCAAAAAAATTCTGTCGTCATTCCTTGTTCTGGAATTCTGCAAAATTTGGAAGCACATAATAACAATTTATGCTGAGCATCATATAGAAATGAAGATTCTGTAGTTTTGGTTTGGCATGGTTTGCTTTTAGAGGATCACTGCAGTTCTGCAATAGAAATGCTGTTTATTGCTATGCAGTGTTTTCCTAAATGCATGCAGAAATGGCCCTGTCGATTCGGAAGGCTTTGAGTGTGATTTGACTGCAAGTATATAAGAATAGTTTATTTAGAACAAACAAAGCAGCACTGGTACGAAAAAACTGACTTCCTTTCTGTCTCCTCCAGGATGCCAGTTCCCACATAAGTAAACTGCAGCGTGTGTTGCCTGAATCTCAACAGACTGGGAGCTTAGCAATCTCCTCCGCTTGAGCTCTCACTGCAGTCCAAACAGCAGCAGCATTAACACGGTATTTACTGCTCATCTACAGCTGGATTGAGGTGGCTTGGAGGAGTGGTTGTGAACGTGATGCTTGACCTGTGCAATGACACGATGATAAATAATGCTCCCCTCGTGCTTTGCTGTAGAACACGTTTCTACATGACTTAGTGCAAAACACTTGAATATTTCTGTCGGATTCTTTATGGCTGGCCAAGGTCATGACAGGATTTGACTTTTTCATGCATCTAAACAGATGGGAGGAAGAAGTCATTTCAGAGCAAGCTGTAGGAGGTCTGGAAGAAAGTGAACACAAGTGTGACTTTCACTCAGAACTAGTTTATTATCTGTCTGTATTTGTGGAAAGGAGGACACTGTAGGAAAAGGTGGTATATAGAATAGTTTTCTGTGAACTTAAGCCTAACTCTCTGTGTGAATTACCATAGAATTTGTGTGGCTTAATAGTTCTAGTTTCTCTCATTACAGGATCAGAGAACATGCCAAAGGGGGAAAGAACCTGTGTATAGCTGTCATGGCAGTGCACACAATCAATGTGAACTCTAATTGGGAGCTTCTGTTCTAAATCTGTAAGCAATAGAAGTAATTTGAGAAAGTGGCATTAGTTTGTTTTCATAAATATCCATATCAATTTCTGCCTTTTTTTGGTCATGATTTGCAATGATTGTACCACTAGAAATGAGTAAACTAATGTGTATGGTAAAGGTAGGATTTGGGCTTTTGGTTTTAAATCAGGGTGCTAATGAAAAGGCTGCGTGCTGAATCCTCAGCTCTGCTTTCCTCTGAAAGGTATTACTTCACCTTATAGCCTTGGATGAACTTGACCAGAACAATGTAAGTACCAGACAAACAAAAGGAACTCTGATAACATTCAGAACCAGAAAACCTTAGTTGTGCTGGTACTGACTGAGAGAGTGTAAAGATTGTGCGCCAGCATTTGCATCAACTGAAAGGGTATTTTGTTCCGAAGTTCATCAGCAGGATTTCATGCAGTGTGAAAGACAGCAGCAGTGCAGTGTTTTGCAAAGACTGTCTTGTGGGTTGGATTCCTGAAAAGCCCTCTGCAAAACAGAGGTTGCTTGTGGCTGTGGCCCATCCCCATCAGATGTCTGGCTCCTGCTGGCTGATTGGCACATCGCAGCTCAGCTCAACGCGCTGCCGTCAGAGCACGATGCTGCTTTACAGCCTGACGCTGCAGTTGTGAGCTTGGAAATTAGCTTCTCCTTTGGAACGGTTGCTGTAGAAAATGAAGCACCACAGTATTTACTGTCAGGGGTGGCTTCTGAACCACATCTGTAGGACTTTGATCTACTTTCAGAGCAGTTCTGGACAGGAACTTGCCAAGCGTGTTCTGGTTAATCTATGCAGGCTAACTAATCTCTGTTTACAGGCAGCTCTACCTGAGGCTGTTTTAAACTCCAAAACGCAGTCTATCAAAATTAACCCTTGAAATGCGATCAGTTAGAATTTGTGCCTGATGAATTCTGTGCCCTGTTTGGAGGAGGGAGGAGAAAAGCAACTTGAAAAGCGTGGCATTGCTGCCTGCCAGTTTAAATCTGGCAGCTCCATAATTTCGCATTGTCTGAGTTCTTTGATTTCCATGTTGTGTTTTTGCATTACAATACAGACAACCCAACTTGCAGAAACTCAAAACGGGACGCAGTTATCTGCTTCAGAACAAGATGCTTAAGTTCCCGTTCTTTTCTCAATGATGTTTGTTTCTTTGTTTTCACGCTTGAATAATTTTTGTTTGCTCCCCTTTTTCTATAAATGCATTTGCATCATGAATCAAAAGTCAGCGGATTTCTGAGACGAGCCTTTCAGAATTCCAGGTGCCCTGCTCTCAATGCATTTCCAATAAAACTCTTGTGTGTCCCATAGCAGCAAACAGATACAAAGGCAGCCAGTAAAATTCCTTCAGTCCAACAATTCAACTTTTCTCAAGCATGTTCCTCATGCTCCCTGCCCAGAAAAAGCTCTGGCCAGTCACATCTTGGTGCTCCATTCCTGAGCTGCAGCCCTTGTACCTGCACACAGTTCATTGTAATTAGAGTCCTTCTGCACGTTACAGATAACACAGTCAAGGATACGAACATTGTTGAATAAGAGACTGGGAAGTGTTTTTCAGTGCCACGGCCAAGGGTTGTGTCAGCATATATTGTTCTGGGGCTCAGAGCTCCAAAAGTAGAAAGTATTGAATAGAGCTGTTTCAAAAAGCAGCCTTGCCCGCAGCAGATTGTTTTTTCTTCTGTATAAATCCCGGAAATTTCTCACTGTCTGATTATTTGTTCAACTGATGTGAATGGGATGCTTGCAACAGGCACCACGTTGTCTAGTTTTGTGGACAAAAGGTAACTGGATATGGTGAAAGTCCAGAAAACCACATGAAATTGAATTAGAACTAGCGACAGTGAGGGAAAAATTAACAAAAAAGGAAATCTTCCAGTGCTACCAATGCAACCTGAGAGCATGTCTGCAAAGGGAGGTGGGTACACAGCGTGCTGCAGTGCCAAGCTGTGTGGCACCGTCTCCTTCCTCATGGGCACAGCAGGGATGCTTTTGTGCCCCTCAGTCCAGTATGGAGCTGCTGCTGTGTTCACACTGCATGCCCTGTGCTGGCCGTCTCCAGTGGAGCTCTCCTCTTTGTGCCCCTGGGAGCAGCGTTAGCTTGCAGCCCTGCTCTGCTGCTGTTGCTGCAGGTAGGCAGTGCATTGAGTCTGGAGACGCTCGGTCTTCTTTCAAAAGAAGCTGGGTTTGCTTAGGACACACTAATGGGGCTCTCAGAGGAAGTGGATGCTGAGCAGCCAGAATGCCCTCACTTTGCTTTAATACTCCTGTGTGGAGATCTCTCCTTTCCCTACAGAGATGGGCTTTAGGCCAAAAGAAGGTTTTGTAGATCGAAACCAGCGCTATGACTTGCATCCTGAAACCACTGATGTTTAAATGTTTCAGGAGCAATCCCCAAAATTGCTGAGCGCCGTGCTGATGCAGCACAGCAGTAAGCACATGCTTAGCCTACAGAAATAATCTCATTTGCCTCAAGTGAGAAAGAACTGATGGCACAGCCATACCCACAGCTCTCTGTAAATCCACAGCAAGATTTAGTGACCTGCAAGTCACTGGCTACTGAATAAGTCTCAGTATCTTCTCTTAATAAAGGGCACTGAATCAGCTGTGGTCAGTTCAGTCATAGAAGGAGCAGGAAGAACGGACGTGTTTCATACAGAAAAGTGGTTTTTTATTGTTTTGAGGTCACTTGGTGGCAGGTGCTGTGACAAACACCAGGTGAATTGCCTGCTGGCAGCGATGCGGCCATTTCTAGCGGTTGATCATTTTTCCTTTAGAGAAAGATTGAGTCAGGGAGAGCTGATGAGCCACACAAAGGAGGACAGCAACAGGAAAACGGGCAGCAAAGCGTGTGCCACTGCTCGTGAGCTGTGAGTCAGGAGGTGGCCAAGGGCACAAAGATCACTCACTTGCAAAGCAAACCGGAAAGATTTTGGTTCTGTAACACACGAGTGGTGTCCCTGAGGTCATCGTCCGACTGTGCTGTGCTTTGCTTACCTTCTTCTCTTTCTGTTTTCTGGTGAGTCTGCAGGGTGAAAATGTATAGGAAAAGGACATAGATGTGATTGCTTAATGTATTTTAGAGGAAATGTTCCTGTCTTTCCATGCAGATCTTTAACTTTCTGGAGGAAATGAAGACATTTCCACTACGGAATTAGTTTTGAACTTTCTTGAACAAAAAGGTCAAACAAGTAAAAACAGTGCTTTTGCTGCACCTTTCTTCACGTTTCACATGCTGCCTAGCACACTGCTTTCCATGGATGGTTTCCTTTGGCTGTTCCCCCCAGAACCACAACCTCAGGGCACCTCTGCCCCTGTGTTTTTGCTGGGGGTGCAGCTGAGCTCTCACCCTATCTGCTGCCTTGAATTAATTGCAGTGAAATACAACACTTGCACCATGGTTTCTCCTTGTTAACTCTTTCACGTGTTCTTCCACTTCCTCTTTAATTGCCTCATTGCCAGCCTGCTTTCCATCCTCTGTGACTGGCCTCAAAATGAGTGGAACCGTTTTGATCACGGCTGCTGTCAGCCTCTGAGCATCACACTCTGCTTCTCTGTTCCTTTTTCAGGACACAAAGGCTATTTCCCACACGTTAATAACCTGCAGAGAACATTTCCAGGCTCCGTCCCCACAGTTTGATGCTGTGGGCATGGCAGGTCTCCCAGGAGCAGTCCTTGGTGGTGGCACAGAGCTCACCTGCAGCCACCCCATTGCCATCACCAAGCTAAACCAGCACAGCAGAGCCTGGAGACATTCATGCAGGCTGTGCTTTCTGCTTAAAGTTGCTCGGTGGCAACCCTGACCCCCTGTGAATTCACAGTGGCGTTTGAACGGGGGTGGAAGACTGAGCTCAGGTGCTGCCCTGGGTTCACATTGCTGCATTTGGGGCCGAGTTTGTGCCCACAGAAGGCAGAACTCCTCCTGGCTCTGCTCAGAGCTGCTTCTGGCGCGTGGGGGGCTGCAGCTGGGAGGAGCGGATCGTCGGGGTTAATTTACTCTGTCATTAAGTGACTTACAACCCACGTGTGCGCGGAAACTCCAGCTGCGTCGAGCTGCGCCGCCTGATTTCTGCAAGCATTACAAACCCTCCAGGGAATCACTTTGCTATTGTGCCCTCCTCTTGAGTTATTGTTGGAGAAAACAAAGCTGCCGTTCAGCTCACCGCGGGGTGGGCGTGCTGCCGCCAGCGAAGGCCGACAGGAGCGGGCAGCCCACAGGAGCCGCGGGTCCCTCCGCTGCCGCGGGCGGATGGAGCCGTTCCGAACCTGCAGGGACGGGCGCTGACACCGGGGGGCGCTGCGGCGCGCGGCCGGGAGGAGCTGCGGGCGGCGCCGGAGCGCTCGGTGCCCGGTGTGCGCGGTGCGTGCTGCGCCGTGTGCGCTGCGCAGCCATGAACAGCATCAAGAGCGTTCCCGCACGGGTGCTGAGCCGGCGGGCCGGACACAGCCTGGAGGCAGAGAGGGAGCAGTTCGATAAGAACCAGGTGAGGGGGGAGGCGGGGGTGTCCCGGCGGCGGCGTTCGTCCCCTGGGAGCGGCCCGAGCCGTGGGGCAGCGCCTCCGGGAGCTCCGCGTGGGGCCTTCCCCGGGGACGGAGCGCCAGGAGGCCGTTTCCCCGCTGGCCCCACCGGTGGGAGTGCGCAGGGAGAGTCGTACGGCGGTGTCAACGGGAGCGCGGCCAAAACCCCGCTGTGTCCCGCATGTCCGCCCCGGGCTGGGAGCCGTCCCGCAGCCGTCGGGGATGCCCGACGCAAAGGCGCCGTTCTCTCGAGGGACAGCCGTGCTGCCCCCCTCGCGTCCTCCGCCGCTCAGCTGCGCATTGCCGGTATTCGGCCCGGTTGTCCTGTGGCACCGCCGTTCCCTCCCCGTCCCGTCGGCTGCTGCGGTCCCGCAGTGCTCCGTCCGAGGGCCGGTGACCGTTCGGGGCAGTGCGGTCGCGGTACCGGGTGGGAAGTGGCAACGTTGGGTATGGGGAGCAGCACGAATAAACCTGCAATTCCGGTTCCTTCGGGACGCGTCTCCTCCAGCCGTCCCGCCGGGCAGCGCCGAGGAGTTACCGCGGTGCGGAGAGCGCTGCCCCGGGCGGGAGCGTCCCGTGTCCCCTCCGTTCTTCCTTCCGTCCCTTCTGGCTTTGCCCCACTGTGCCCGAAGAGCGAGAGTCGCGTTATAGAGCCACGGTGTCCTAAAAGAGGTTCGTCCTATGCAGAACCTTCCCGGCATTGCTGTGTGGTATCGTTCTGCCCCCCGGTGCTCGCAGGTAGCGTGCGGTTTGACCTGAGCCATTTTATGTCTGAGATGTGATTTGCTCAGAATGCTTTTTGGGGTCACACTGCATTGGTGTCAGCATTTGCCTTGGAGGTGAGACCCTGCTGTCCTCTCCGGGTGTGCGCTCTGCAGTGCCATTGGAGGCAAAACTTTTGGTTTTCGTGCCCAACTTTTGCTTTTCTTGACTACATCTGCCAGAAGGGTTAGGGTTGTGTCTGCTGGAAGGTTAAGACCCAACACGCTGGGCAGCCCCCAGGAATACAGCACGTGTGAATGCTGGGCGGTCCTGTTCTGGTCCACATGTGGAGTCCTCAGAACAGGAGAGACCCGGACTTGCTGGAGAGCGTCTGGAGCAAGGCCCCAAAAATGATGTCAGGGATGGAGTGCCTCCTGGGGATGCTGGGGCCGGGGGGAGCCGTGGGTGGAGAAGATCATGCTGTAATTAAAGCGGCTTGGAAAGAAGGGGTGGATGTAACCTGCACTCCTTCCTTTGGATGCTTTGATCCCTGTTTAGTCACCGGCTCGGTACGCTGGGGCTGTGAGTAAGGTGCTCAGGGCTGCACCCATGGTGGTTTTGTAACCCGCAGGTTTCAGGGTCTGACCCGCAGCCATCAGCACTGGGGTGGTGTTGGGGAAGCTGCAGCTGCATGAAGGTTTCAGCTTGGCTCTTGGTGCTTGCCACCAGGGTGTTCCCATCTCTGACCCGTTTTTATGGGGGATCCTCTTGACTCAGGGCTTGGAGCCAGCCCCGGGATGCTGGCATTGCTTTGGTATCAGTGGGACTCACGTTGGATGTGACGTCTCCCATCATGGATATAAAGTGGCTCAGATCAAACCTCAGTACTCAATCGCCCCTTAGGAAGGCACACTCTGGAGCTCCCAGGCTGCGTTTTGGCTGGGCAGGTTCATGGGCAATAAGCTCAGTGAAATCCCAATGGGCATCACAGGTTTTGGGGCAGGTTCCAGCCCATGATGTCGAGCAGTGAGGATATGCAATGGGGTTTGCTTTGTCCCGGCCCCATGGGGCTCCTCCTGGTGCTTTGGGATGAGCTCTCTGTCACTCCCGTGCCCAGCAGATGGCTCAGCCCTACTGCCCTCGTGCCGGTGCCTTTTTCCAGGCACTTGAGTCTCATTAACCTTCGAGTTAAGAGGATTACGCCAAGTCGCCGGCTTAACTCTGCTGCTGCTATACTGACCCACATGGCAGGTTAACGCCAGGGCTTCCCCGAGTGCAGAAGCAAAATCGCTGCCTGCAGCCGCACAGCCTCCTTGAGGATGCACAGCCATGGGGGGCACCAACACCTCTATTGTCACTCCTTGTGCTGAGAAGCGGGGACATGAACTGAGCCTGTACCCGATCCTGGGGCTGCTCACCCCAAAACAGTGCTGGGGATGAGGATCCTCGTGTGGGACCAGCTCTATATGGCAAGTTCCTGCTCCTGGCTGACGGTCAGTGGCACAGTGCTGCACTGGGTTCCTCCCTCCTTGGTGACACAAAGCCAGTGCTGTGCATGCTGCTCGGAACTGGGGCTCTATGAGGTTTTACAGCCTGCGTGCAGGGAGGGACCATGTTTTTCTTCCGGCACGAGCGCCGGGAGCCTGACTGCTTCCTGCCATTCTGGCCTGCTGGTTTTTGCTGTGCAAAGGGCCTCACAGCTGTGGGCACAGCCCCAGTTCTTGTGCAAAGGTGAAGTAGTGAAGGGAAGTCCTCGTGGTCTCAGCAGCTCAAATTTAGAGCTGGAGAAAGCGACTAGGGCCTATTTTTGGAATAAAACCTTCATTTGATTAGGGCGTGATTCAATGCGCTGGTATACAGGTAATCCTCTTGATACAGCTACTCCTCTGTGAACTGCACTGCTCTGGTTTGTGGCATCTTGGCTGCTGCTCCCTCCATGCTTGGGGGCCGTTTTCCCTTTCCCTACTTGCTGTTCTCACGCAGGGCCGCCTTCAAAGCTGTGGAAAAACACCCAGTTCAAAGGCTCCTTGTGATTGCACAAACAACCCAGGAATGTGGCATCGCGCTGTGTGTTGCTGCTGGCAGGGTGCGTTGCTGAGCTCAGGCTGCAAAGTGCCACTTGTTCCGTGGGACAGTGGAAGACATCTGTGGCTTTGAGGGCAGCCTGGCCCCGGCTGCTTTGTTCTGCATCAAAAAGCCTAATACTGCAGTCCCAAACATTTGACAAATGGAAAATTCAGAATATTTTCCAAAAGCCCCTGAGCGCTTGGGTTGCTCCCAGCTGGCAGAGCTGGGATGAGGGGGAGGTGGGTCCCAAGGGTCGTGGCACTGCTGACACTGCTCTCCTCCTCTCGCAGGCCATCAGCATCAGCAAAGCCATCAACACACAGGAGGCGCCGGTGAAGGAGAAGCATGCACGCCGTATCCTTTCCCTCTGCCATCTGGGTGGTGCGGGAGCTCCATCCTCACCCACAGGGGAGATCTTGGGGTTGTAGGGCTGGGGAAAGATGGGTTTCTCCGTGGGGTTGGCCTTGACTGATGGAAAGGGATCATTCTGGGGACGCACCACGAGAAGGGCGCCTTCACCTTTTGGTCCTACGCCATCGGGCTGCCCCTGCCCAGCAGCTCCATCCTCAGCTGGAAGTTCTGCCATGTCCTGCACAAAGTCCTGCGCGACGGCCACCCCAATGTGAGTGTCCCCTCCCAGAGGCTCTGCCCCTTCTGTAAGCTTGTAGATGACACCAAGTTGGTAGGAAGTATCAATGTGCCTGAGGGTAGGGAGGCCCTACAGAGGGATCTGCATAGACTGAATCGATGGGCTGAGGCCAATGGGATGAGCTTCAACAAAACCAGGGAGGTGATGGGGTCACCGTCCCTGGAGGTGTTTAAGAACCATGGAGATGTGGCACTGTGGGACGTGGGCACTGGGCATGGCGGGATGGCGCCATGGTTGGACTTTTTGATCCTAGAAATCTTTTCCAATCTTTGTGATGTTGTGATTCATAAATCAGCCTGTTATCTCACTACTTCAGAACCTCCCCCTGCACAGCCCCACGCTGGGGCTGACCTGTCCCCTCAAGCTTTGCTGTAGCGGTGCAAGGGGCTGAGTCCCTGTTGCCCTTTTGTGCCCCCAGGTCCTGCAGGACTGCCAGCGGTACCGCAGCAACATCCGTGAGGTGGGAGACCTGTGGGTAAGCAGACGGGAGGAGCAGAGGTTGGTGCCGTGCTGGAGGTGGGGCTTCCTGGGTGAAGGGCTTTGAGTTGGGTGTTGAGCCCTAAGCATTGTATGCACGGGGGAAGCTTGCAACCACCTGAAATAACCCACAAGAAGGGGCAGCGGGAGAGGGGAGAGCTGCGGGGCTGGTGCAGGTTGACCAACACCCACGGGATGGATGCATCCACTGCTTGCCACCGCACCGGGCATTTTTGGCATCACTGGGTTCAATTTATTTCCCCTGTGTCGCCTACAGGGCCACTTGCACGACCGCTACGGGCAGCTGGTGAGCATCTACACACGGCTGCTCCTCACCAAGATCTCCTTCCATGCCAAGGTGAGACCCCATGCTGCATCTGCACCGCTGAGAGCTGTTGCAGGAGCAATTAGCAGCAGCTGCTGTTCTGTTTTCCTTTGGCACAGCACCCCGAGTTCCCCGCAGGCCTTGAGGTCTCAGATGAGGTCCTAGAAAAGACAGCAGGCACGGACGTGAATAACATGTGAGTGTCCTCATGGGATGGGGTAAAAGATTTGACGTGGGGAAAAGCATCCAGAAGCAGTGGAGTCCCACAGGGGCACCTGCAAGCAGTGATCTGTAGCACTGATGTGTGTGCAGCGCAGTGATGGTGTTGGTTTTTGGCAGCTTCCAGCTGACAGTGGAGCTCTTCGACTACCTGGACTGTGAGCTGAAGCTGTCAGAATCAGGTGAGGAGTGGCAGCAGCTCCTTCCCAGCTGCCCCAGGGCTCTTGAGCAATAGTTTCATTCTTTGGTCAGGAAGAGAGTTTGTCTGCATCCTTCCTCCTCCTCCTCCTCCTCCTCCTCCTTGGTTAAGGCATGGAGATTTTTGCTCTGTAGAAGTGGTTGTAGGAAAATATTTAAGAAGTGTGGCTATTTATAGTGCACCTGAGCCATGCAGGGCGTGTGATGCTGCTATGAAATGCCTTTTCATTCCTTTTCAGTGCATTACCCAAATCTTTTCCACCCACTGGAGGAGAGGATGGGGGCTGTGCTACTGTATGAATATTCATTGCATCTCTGGCAGCAGCCCCTGCCCGTGTTTGCTTCTCTTGCCTCATTCTCCAAGAATTTTTCAATGGCTTAAAAATGTGCCATTCCTTCCCCTCCACCGTCAGTCAGAGCACAGAGCTGCCCAGGGGAACTGGGTGTAGGGGAGGGGCCGTGTCCCAGCTCCGTGTGCCATCCACGTCTCCTCCTGACCCAGTTGTATGGGAACTGATATTCAGAAGTACTTGAAAGCTGAGCAGGGAAGGAGTCAGCCGATGCGCTGGCTGGATGTCTGCCCGGGGAAGGGATCTGTTTCTGTGCTGGGCAGGTGAGGCTGGGGTGATTCTGTCCCAGCTCTTTGCAGGATTAAAAGGACCAGAGCAAAACCTCTTGCTTTTCCTGCCTGCATCGTGTGCTGGCAGCTACTGCTGGCAGCCATGCAGCCCACGCATCATTCCAGGTTACACACCTCCTGTTTGGGGTTGGGGTGTGCATGGCAGAGCTGAGCACCCTTGCTTGCAACGCTACCAATGTCCCTTCAGGTGTTTCTCTTGCACAGAGTGGGGTTGTTCCCAGCTCAGCACAATGGATGGTGTTTGGCGAAGCCACGTCTGTCCTGGTTAATGATCAAGCCGGTTTGACTGCGGCCGGACGGCTCTGCAAACACGTCCCTGGCATTCACTGCTCTCTCCTCTCCAGTTTTCCGGCAGCTCAACACCTCCATGGCAGTGTCACAGATGTCAGCGGTGCAGTGCCGCCTGGCACCCCTCATCCAGGTCATCCAGGACTGCAGCCACCTCTACCACTACGCTGTCAAGCTCATGTTCAAGCTGCACTCCTGTGAGTCCCCAGTCACTGCAGTACATGGGGATGCCCGGCTCCCAGCCTGGTCCTGGCTTGAGTCTGGAGGGATGGGGGTGCATGGGGATAAATTTGGGGCTGAGTTTGCAGCCTGGATCCATCCTTGCTGTCCCCATTGCCACAGGTCTACCGGCTGACACGCTGCAGGGCCACCGAGACCGCTTCCACGAGCAGTTCCGCAGGTACCCGGGGCTGATGCAGGGCAGGGAGATCCTCTCCATCTCCTCTGCCTCCTCTTTGAGCCATTTTTCTTTTCTCCCCCTCTCCAGCCTCAAAAACTTCTTTAAGAAGGCCTCTGACATGCTGTATTTCAAGCGGCTCATCCAGATCCCCCGGCTGCCTGAGGTGTGTGATGCTTTGAGAACCCGTGGCTTTGGGATGTGTGTGGGGTCTGCTCACAGCCAAGAGGTCTGGTGGTGCTGCAGAGGGGCTGCAAAACCCATAGGGATGTCACTGTGATGCTCCTGTCCCCACAGAGCCCCCCAAACTTCTTGCGGGCTTCGGCACTGGCGGAGCATGTGAAGCCGGTGGTCGTCATCCCTGAGGAGGCCCCTGAAGACGAGGAGCCAGAGAACCTCATTGAGATCAGCACAGCCTCCACCACAGAGCCACAGGTGGGGGGGGGATACTGGCATGGGATGGGGACATGGTAGGGAGGAGACCTGCAGCGGGAGTGAGAACTCATCCTGGCACCTTCCATCCTCCCCAGGTCACCTCAGATATTTTTGAGCAAACCTTCGGGCCGCCCAACGGCATTCGGGATGACAGGTAAGGGGGGATGGTGGAGGGGGAAGGGATGGGCATGGTATGGTGCCAGCCTGCTGTCTGCAGGGACGCACAGATTGAGAGCCTGACAAGGGAGGTGGACACACTCCGTGCTGAGATGGAGAAGATCAAGCTGGAGGTAAGGCCGTGGTACTATGCTGTAGGGCTGTATGGTGGAAATCCTAATGGGATGCAATGGGATTGGGGCATGCAGGCCTGGTGTACCATTTTGGGCCCTTTCCCATTGCCAGCACCTAGCTTTTGAGGAAGGGTGTGGACATGTGAGACTCATCCCTTCGGGATCCAGCTGCCAAGGGGAGGCCTTTGGGGCGTCTCACAGTTGCTGTGCCCAAATCACAACCTGGGGGGGATTTTGGGGGGTTGCCTGCAGGCGCAGCGCTACATCACACAGCTCAAGGCGCAGGTGAACAGCCTGGAGGGAGAAGTGGAGGAGCAGCGCAAGCAGAAGCAGAAGGCACTGGTGGACAACGAGCAGCTCCGGGATGAGCTGGAGAGGCTGCAGCAGGCAAAGCAGGACAGCGAGCGGTCCCTGCGGCTCTGCGCCGAGGCAGAAAGTACGTGCTTGGTGCACTGGCCACACAAAGGCCTGGTGACCATGTGAAAGTCCAGTGGCCATGGGAATGCCCAGCATTGGGCACTGATGTGTCCTCATCCTGTGCAGAGAAAGCCAGTGCCACTGAGATCCGCTACACGAAGCTGAAGGAGAAGCACAGTGAGCTCATCAATACTCACGCTGAGCTCCTGAGGAAGGTAGGACTTCACAGGGCACAGTGATCTCTTTGTCCCCCCATCACTGTGCTCAACCTCGCTTTGATCCATCCTCCTGCACCCCGAGCCCCTCAGCATCCTCACATCAATGTCTGTCAGTGTTTTGGGTGCATCTGGGCAAGAGGAGGGAGGGTGGGGTGCCATTGTGCTGGGGGCTCAGCAGGATGGCAGAGAGGTGAGCCCGTGTCCCTGCGCAGAACGCCGACACAGCCAAGCAGCTGACGGTGACGCAGCAGAGCCAGGAGGAGGTGGCACGTGTCAAGGAGCAGCTGGCGTTTCAGGTTGAGCAGGTCAAGCGGGAAGCAGAGCTGAAGGTGAGCCCACGGGTGGTGGGTGGTGGCAATCCCAACTGTGAGACCCCGAGATCCCTGCAAACCAAGTCTGGGCTCGTTCTTGCTGACCTTGGGTTGGGTGATGGGTTGCAGCTGGAGGACCAGAGCGTGCAGATGGAGCAGCTGCGGCAGGAGCTGGAGGCGCGGCGGGATGAGCTGGACCAGGCCCAGCGCTCGCTTGGCCACGCCAAGCAGGTACTTCCTACAGCTGGGGGCACAAACCTGCAGAGCCCAGTGCTGAGCTGCTGGGTCCCTGCAGGCAGGTGCAGCCCATTGGCGTCAGCAGCTGAGCGTGTTCTGGGCTCGCTCTGTGTAACCGTGGGGTGGCGGTCAGTGGGTGATGGGGGTTTCTGGCCCCACTGGCAGGCAGGCACGGAGCTCAGCGCCCAGCTGGAGATCCTGCAGGCTGAGAAGGAGCAGCTGAGGCGGTCAATGAGTGAGAAGGAGTGTGAGCTGCTCTCAGTGCACAGCCTCGTCCAGGAGAAGGAGCTGCAGCTGAGCCAGGAGGCTGACAAGGCCTCCAAGGAGATCTGTGAGCTGCAGGGCAGGCTGCTGGAGAAGGTACAGGGCCGTGTCCCTTGTGTTTAGGGGGGATGCTGAGCACTCCAGCAGCGTGCCCACGCCTCCTTTTCCTGTCCCACAGTGCAATCAGGAGCAGAGCCTGCAGCAGAAGCTGCTGGATGAGCAGTTCAGTATCCTGCAGGAGACAGTACGGGAAGCTGAGGGCATCCTCCATGATGCAGTGGCCAAGCTGGATGACCCACTGCACGTCCGCTGCACCAGCTCCCCAGGTATGCCCTGCAGCCCCTCTGCCCCCAGACTGATAATGTTGTATCTCCATTTCCTGCACACATCTCCCACAAGTGATAAACTCTGGATTCAGCATTGTTTTGTTGTAACTGTACAAATTTTGGTGTTGCTCCATGGCTGGAGCCTTGAGGACTTGAAATGCTGCCATTTGGTGGCATTTCATGGAGACAGCTCTTGTGCTTATTTGGATGCTTGTCAGCCTGACCCTGCTAATGTTGGGATATAAGGAAGAACCTCTTCCTAATGAGGGTGGGGAGGCTCTGGCACTGTCTTCCTAGAGAAGCTGTGGATGCCCCATCCCTGGAGGTGTTCAGACATTGGCTTGGATGAGGTTTAAAGCACCTTGATCTAGTGGAAGGTCTCACTACCCATTGCAGGACAGTTGAAACTAGATGGTCTTTAAAGGGTCCCTTCCAACCCAAACCATTCTATGATCCTAATGAAGAGAAATTTGTTGCAGATTACTTGCTCAGCCGGGCAGAGGCAGCGCTGGAGTCCACAGACGCCCTGGAGAGCGGGCACGCGCAGTACATGGCCTCCATGGCAGGTACCTGGGGCTTGGAACTCACAACGTTGCTGGAACCTTGCTGTCATTTTCATGTATCCAGCAGCCCTCGGAGGTTCTGGGGCTGTGCAGTGCCCATGGGGAGGGGGGTGCACATGGACTGGAGTTGGTGTGTCCCCATGAGCTCATGCATGGAGCCACCTGCAAGCTGGGGAGGGGTCACTACCAAGCAGTTGAGTGCCTTTGTGGGGTGGCAATGCCCTGGGCTCTCTGTGCCTGACTGCGTCCCCCTGACAGATGCTGCAGCACTGGTGGGTGCCCTGGCCCTCTTTGCTCACCTGACAGCCGACACCATCGTGAACGGCAGTGCCACATCCCACCTGGCTCCCACTGACCACGCTGACCGTGAGTGAGCACAGCAGGGACTGGAGGGGGTTGTTCTCAGTTTTGGGGCTGGATATGGGCCAGACCTTCCATAGGGTTCTCAGGCTCTGTTCCTTGTGGTACCACTTCTTGGGTTAAGAGTGTTCCTTTGCTTCTTGGGCACCATTTGGTCGTCTTCTGCAAGATATTTGTGGATGTCTCATCACTGGAGACATTCAAGGCCAGGTTGGATGGAGCCCTGGGCAGCCTGATCTGGTGGGCGACAACCAGCCCATAGCAAGGGTTAGAGCTTGATGATCTTTAAGATTAACTCCAACTTACACCATTTTATGGTGTATGATAGCTCCACAGCTGGAGGAGGGTGACAGGGCTGGGACGTGGGACAGCAGAGACATGAGGCCCATTGCTGACCTGTTCTCTCTTCAGGGCTGACAGAGACGTGCCGCGATTGCGGGCAGCGCAGCCTGGACTACCTGGGCAAGCTGAAGGACAAGCAGACGTTGGGATGTGCTGAGCTGGGGGATGTGCGACAGGCGCTGCGGGGCGTCCTGGGGCTGGTCCAGGTAGGGGATGGGGTTTGCTGTGCTCTGTGGGCCTGGAGGGGTGGGTGGCTTCTTAGAGATTTCCTAAGGGAAGAATCAAAGCAGGTGATTTAAGGCAGGAGGGTCTTTCCAGTAACATGCTGTGAATTCAGATGCTGTCAACTATCCGGAGCCCTGCCACGTTAGCTGTGCCAGAACTATAGCTGCTGTTGAGTTTTGGTTTGGGACATTTTCTCCCTCTGAGGTCCCTGTGCTGGGTTTGCTGCCGGGTGGTGACACGTGTGCCTCTGCCCTTGCTGTCTTGCAACTATGTTTGTATAGGGGGAAAAAACTAGCCAAATGCCTTTTTGGGGTGTTCATTCATTATGAATACTTTCTTCTTCTCTCTGCTGAAAACCTCCTGGCTGTTGCTGCCTCCTCTGTCAGGAGCTGAGGCCTAAAAGCTTGGACATCAAGCAGGAGGAACTGGGGGACATGGTTGAGAAGGAGATGGCTTCCACCTCTGCGGCAATTGAAGACGCTGTCAGACGAATAGAGGTGAGGACAAAGCCATGGAATGGGCCCTTAGGGCAGCAAACCTCTAATTTTCCCCCAGTTCCTCCTCCCCTCCTGCAGCCCTGCTTGCTGCAGCGTTGTGTCCCACCTCCCTTTTCCCATGTCCCAACAGGACATGATGAGCCGGGCCAGGAACGAAAGCTCCGGCATCAAACTTGAAGTGAATGAGCGGTGAGTGCTGGGGGTTCCCATTTGGGTGGCCCATCGGTCCTGCAGCAAGGTGCTGCTCCAAAGCCCCACATGCACTCTGGAGCTGCATCTTCATGATGCTCAGCATTTCCTTTGGAGAGTGGGTCTTTGTGTTGTGCATCTTAGCCAAAAATTTTGGTGGCTTCTTCATGAGCTGCTTAAAAGTAACCTTCAGGCAGGCTGGGTTCTGGAAGATCCAGCTAAGTCCAAAGAGGGCTCTCTTGAGTGCTCAATGAAATGCTCAATGCTTTTTCTTGTTTCCCTACAGGATTCTGAACTCCTGCACAGACTTAATGAAGGTCAGTGCTGCAAGAGCTGAGCTTCTCCTCAGGGGACCAGAAACCATGCAAAAATGTCACTTAAAACCACTGGCAAAATCAGTCCTTCTGTATAAAATCCCCATCCACCACCTAAACTTGTTCTTCTTCATTCCAGGCTATTAGGCTTCTTGTAATGACCTCAACGAACTTACAGAAGGAGATTGTGGAGAGTGGTCGGGTGAGTCCTCCCTTGCATTCATCCCTGAGCACTGATGTGAAATACAGAATTTTCCACAATTTGTAGGGGAAAAAAAAAAAAGCTGAATTTTGCACTTTCCCATGTTGATGACATATTTGCAGTCCTGCTGCCTGGAGTGGGGGTGCTGAGCACAGTGCGCTTTGCAGACCTTGTTGTTGCCTTTGTCCACTGAAAGATGATGACCCAAACGTGGCTGTGTTACACACAGCCTAAATTTGGAGCCCCAAACTTGTGATGTTTGGGTTTAAGCAGGCCAGTAAGAGCATCCTGAAGGGCACAGAAGTGCTGCCAGTCCCTGGACTTACGAGTTTATGCAGGGTATTCTGTATTGTTAGATGTGGGATTTTAAATGGATTTTTTTAATACGATGTACGGATTTTTATATGACTCCATCGAATCATGGAGTTGTTTGAGTTGGAAAGGGCCCATAACGGTCATCTAGTCCAACTCCCCTGCAACAAACATCTACAGCTCGATTGTGGATTTATTATATGCATACATATGGAAGGAAGTTAACGTAAGCTATAATATTGTCATAACAACAGGGGGCAGCAACAACTCAGGAGTTTTATGCCAAGAACTCTCGCTGGACCGAAGGGCTGATCTCTGCCTCCAAGGCCGTGGGCTGGGGAGCCACACAGCTTGTGTAGGTACCACAGCACTGCATGCAGACAGTGCTGGGCTGGGGATGGTTGGGGTCAGGGCACAACATCCCTGAGCTGTGCGAGTGGGGAAAGTGTGGGGTTTGTTTGGCTAGATGTCCGAATGCCATCAGGTGCTGACAAATCAATGCTGATTCAGTCAGTGCTGATTTCTAAGGGTGTGGTGGGATGCACATCACCCACTTGTAGTGCATCTGTAATGCAATCTCCCTTCCAACTGCAGGGAGTCGGCAGACAGAGTTGTCTTGCAGACAGGCAAATATGAAGAGCTGATTGTCTGCTCCCATGAAATCGCTGCCAGCACGGCCCAGCTGGTGGCTGCCTCCAAGGTGAGCATCCTGCGGGTTCAGGATTCTGTTCCCATGGTCGATGGCTGATGAGTGATGAACTCTGGTCCTTGCCACCAACCTAGGGGTTTCAGCAAGCAGAGGGATGCAGGGTTGGAGGAAGGAGGGCTGAGGCTGCTTTTGATCCAGATGATGATGAAAGGAAAAGCATTGAAAAAAAAAATTTGCCTGCACCCATGCTGCTTGTTCATACATCCCTGGCTCACATAAGAGCAGAGGTGGTTTGGCGTCCTCAGGCTGAAGGAGGTTGCCTTGTCCCTGATGGGCTCAGCAAATCCATCCCTCCTTTTTACATCCACCTGGTGTGATGTGTCCCTGCTCTCAGGGATTGGCCACTGTGGTGGCATCAGCCAGCCTCATGTTGGGGATCTGCAGCTGTCAGAGTTCTCGTTGCAGGTGAAAGCAGAGAAGAGCAGCAGGAACTTGGGCAAGCTGCAGGAGTGCTCCCGCAACGTCAACGAGATGGCAGCCAATGTGGTGGCCTCCACCAGGTCGGGGCAGGAGCAGATTGAGGATAAAGGTCAGGTTTGGTAGAGCAGGAAGAAGTGGGGGGGCAGGAAAAACCAAACCCCTCTATTTTCCTTAATGACTTGGCAAATGCTCCCTGCTTCTCTCCACAGACACCATGGACTTTTCGGGCATGTCCCTCATCAAGCTGAAGAAGGAAGAAATGGAGACGCAGGTAAAGAAAGCCTCATAGAATCGTTAAGGGGGGGCAGAGCTGTAAGATCACGGAGCCCATCTGCAGCCCGCCCACCATCTCCCTCAGTGCCTCGTGTCCCTGAGGCAGACCAGGGACGTGGGGACCCAGCTGGGCTCTTGTGGTTCAGGTGAAGGTGCTGGAGCTGGAGAAGCGCCTGGAAGGCGAGCGGGTGCGCCTGGGCGAGCTGAGGAAGCAGCACTACGCCTTGGCTGGGCCCTACGATGCGGTGGAGGATGGGGAGGCACGGCCAGCACCAGCCCCCAGGAGAGGCATCCTCAAAAAGCCGGCCCTCGCCCAGAAGCCCGGCCACATCCCAGGGCCAGGCGGGGAGGTAGGGGCTGCAGGGTGGGAGCACAGAGCTGGGGCTGCGGCTGTGCCTCAGGAGCCGTGAGCCGTGTCCCCTCTCATTGCAGCCCGAGCGAGACGCCAGCCTGCACCGGGCACACGCCGTCAACTTCTAGCAGGACGGAGGGGGCCAGGCCTGCGCCATCAGAGCTCTTACATCTGTGTTTTAAACAGATCGCCTTGCCTTGGCGTGCCTTCATGCGTGGGGGTCTCCTCCTCACCCGGCCTGCGAAACTGGAATTATTATTTTTCTTTTTTTTTTTTTTTCCAGCCAAAAACTTATTTTGTTCCTCTCCATGGAGCAGCTGGGCTCCCAGGCCCCACGGGCTGCCAGCCCCGCAGTTCGTTTGGTTTAATTTAATTTAGGACTTATTTGGGTTGATTTATTTTATTTTATCAGCACTAGACGCCTTCAGTAAATGTAGCTCTCCTGTACTGCTCAGACCCTTTTGAAGAATGTGAGGTGTTTTTGAAGTAGGAAACTGTTGGGCTTTTCTTGCACCTGTATTTTTTTTTTTTTTTAACTTCCCCTTCAGGAATATTTTGACCTTTTTTTGGTGTGGGATCAGCTCTCAGCAAAGAGGGGAACGTCTCTTTTACTGGGCTTTCAGAAGGGAGAAAGCAGTTCCTGGCACACACTGGCAATAAGGATACAATCATCTTTTTATTTCCTTTTCTATTTTTTATTACTACAGCAACACCAGAGGAGCAGTTGCATTATGTTTTATATTTAAGATAATTAGCAGAATTAAATCTAAATGTGGCCTGCAGGAGCTCAGGTCCATTACATGTGGTGAATTCTGCAGCAATAAGGAAACCAATGTGAGGAGTTGTGAGGGCACAGGAAACACAGCTGGCTTATCTTCTCTTCGAACTGCTACTGGATGTAGATTATTAAAGCAGCAATATTTAAACTGTGTGCAGTGCTCTGTCAGCAGCAGGGTTGGCACTAACAGCGTGGGACTTCAACTGGGGAGAGTGGGTCGCTGCTGGGAGCCAAGGGTGAGTGGAATTGTGGCATGGCAGAGGTTTGAAAAGACTGCTAGGAGCACCAACCCCCACCCCCCATTGACCCCATCCCTCAGTGCCACATCCCTATGGCTCCTGAGCACCCCCAGGGATGGTGGCCCCACCAACTGATCATCCCCACACCTGGAAATACTAATACACATCTCTATACAGAAGGATGCCTGAGAGAAGGTGAGCACAGTGAGCAAGGTAGGGGGAGGGTCCTTCAATAATAGTAATAATATACAGAATCAACATTTCTATCCCGTTCTTTGCAATACTGCCTTACAATCATGATTCAGGCAAGCTAAATTAAAACCAACAAAAGCCCCTACAGCTCAGTTCATGTGATTAACAAAAGGCTGTAAAGCTGGTGGTTACAATTATGAGTTGCTCCATCTAAAGAAAGCAGCAGTTCCAAGGCATTTTGTTATTTATTTTCGGCCCTATCAGCCTCCTGGTGAGTCAGGCCTTCCCAGTTCTGCACCACAAACCACATGATGGGGCTATGAGCAGCCATTGGGTGCCACACACACAGCAGCTCAGCACTGCTTGGTTTCGTTTCTGAAACCTCTGCCCACAAGGAAATGCTTTCTGCAGCAGTTTCTTCTCTATTTATAGGTGGTGATAAAGGTATGTTTGCTGAGAGGCTGATGTCATGCTGACCTCTCATGGTACTACATTTCATCATGGAAATATTGATTAGCCAAGAATGCAAAGTTCTTAAAATTTCAGGCCCATCAGTCTAGCCGTAGCTCCACTTAGAGGTTAAAGAACTCAAAGTATGGTAAAAGGACTTTAAAACAGTGCTGAGGGTGAGTGGGATTTTGATCAATGCTGCTGGTTCATTCTTACTTACTGAAAGCAATACTTAGGCTGCACTTAAAGTAACCCATGCAGGCACATACAGCCTCAGAGAGTAACAGTGAAACCAAGCCCCAAAGGTCACTTAGAGCATCACCTATGTTCTAAAGTAATTTCCTATCAAATTAAGCTTGCTGTTAGTGTTATGAATTCCTCAATTCCAACATTTTTAGTAAAGTATTTGGTATTTGTAGCAGCCATTAAGAAAAACAACAAACCACAGTGTGAACTGTATGGAAAGCTGTGTTCTGAGACTCCACAAGAATCCTGCTGTACAGGATCGAATTTGTTAATGACTTTTAAATGCCAGTATTGTACCTGTGGAACGAGGGAGATACTTAGAGCTGTGTACCTGCAACAAAGACAGTGGAAAATCACCAAAAGAAAGATGTGAAATATTACATTTCCTCCCTCCTGCCGAGGTTGGTTCTGTACAACATTTTGTTGTACGGGTTTTGCCTGAAGCAGTTTTCCAGCAGCCTCATCCTAGAGCCTTCCTCCCTCTGCATGCACCACTGGGGCTGCAGCCAACCCCTCGTAACCACAAATTGCTTTGGACACGAGCACAGAGCAGCTCGAGTTCAGTGCCACTGAGAGTGGAGTTTAAAAAACACCCATCTCTGATCACTGGCAAGAAAAAGGGGCACTGAAATTAAGCACACCAATAGGAAGCACTGCTCTAGGAAGCCAGGTGAAAGGCGGCTTTGTGAAAACATGAGCAGAGGGAAAGGGGCAAACCTGCGAAAGCCCTGCGTCAGGGTTGATTAATAGGCAGGCAGGGATTGCAAGTGCTACAGAAGGGTGTGGGTGGGCTTGGACAGCACCCAAATCCACCTTTCAAAGAGAAGGGAGGACACAAGATGCAAAGTGCTGCCCACGTACCCAACACCGCACGGCTTGCACATCTGTGCCATTCCGTTCAGTTACCTGTGACACAGCCGGGTGCCTCCAGCATCACAGCACGCTGTGTGACTTCTCCTCTGGGGAAGCAACGGTCCCACCTGAAGCCCAGCCTCAGCACAGGCACTTCCTGAAGCTCGGGGTGCACCTCTGCCCCACAGCCCAGGGGCTGCAGTGAATTCTTCAAAGAGCTGTGAAGGAGCTGCAGCTTTTACATAACAGCACCTCCTCCCCTCGCCCACCCGGCTGAGTCAGCACGGTTTGCTCTATCTGCTGTTTGCTATTTCGGCGTTAGCAGAAGGTTAGCGCAGCTCCGCAGCCACCACAAATGGAACACAGCAAGAAAAGCATTTTTAAAGGGATTTTCTTCCATCTATTAACATCAGTTCTTCTCCAGGAGGGCTTCTATTTTACACCGCTATTCAAGGGACAGATATTACATCATGTTCTTTCTGCCATCTGACTCATACTCCTAAATAACTTTGGTTGACTCATTTCTCCTAACTTGACTTGGCTGAATTCTTTTTCCTCCACTAACAAAAGAAAAGCAGGCTTCCCCCTTTTCCCAGAGCAAGAATTTAGATGCTTCCATTCTAGGTAATGGTGGGAAACAAAAACAGACTCCAACTTTGCGATGACTGAGATGCACAGAATCTGAGTAGAGCTGCCCGTTATCAGTGGCACACCAAGTGGACTCATCATAACCAGCTGATGAGAACATGAGCAATGGCTTTGTTATGAAGTTATTTTCCTGCTAATTTAAGTTCCGCATTCACCTACTACTGTTACCTTGCTAAAACACATCATTAGCATTGAAAAACACCAGTCTACATGATTAAATGAAGCCACAATGGAGCGTGGCACCAAGAGAGAGATACGATGTTTTATTTAAAATCAGACCACAGTAGATTACAGAAAGACATTATGCAAACAAATCCACTGTACATTTCACAACTCGCCAGGCATACAAAACTGCCCCTTTATTTGACTGTCCAGGATTACACAGAGGAACCGTTCAGGTGCAGGACAACTCTGCCTCCTCTGAGCTCAATGTTTGCCAAGTAGCTCCTAAATGTCTGTGTGAGCTCTACTTCATTCCAGTTTGAGGGGGCAAAGAAGTCCAAAAGAGGCAGAGGCTGAGGTTGTGGAGATGGGGGCACTCAGCCACCCATGAGTGACTGTGCCCAGGGCCCTGCCTCCTGGAACCACACAGCTCTTATCCTAAACGGTCCCTCAGGGTCAGTGGCACAAAAACGACCCACGTGGAGCAGCTCAGTGCGACCCAGCCTCCAAGGGACAGCATGGAAGTGCAGAGAACTCATCCTGGAGTTTGAGCCCTTCAATGCTGATCATTGTTCAAAAAAAACCCCAAAACAACCCCCCTCCCCCCCCCCCAAAAAAAAACAACCATAAACCCAACAAACCAACCAACAACCCTATCTGCATATAATTGAATTAGTCATAACTTAGAAAATCTGCATACAAAAAGACTGGCAAAAGTAATGCCATCCTAACAGAGCATTTTCAATGCTACCAACACTCTAAAGCCGTGTTACACATCATGTTTAAAAGATTTTTCTCCACTCCAATTGCTTTGGGGAAGTATATGCTATTTGCAGCAGACATTAAGAATCCTCGAGACAACATAATATATATTTTGGCAAGCATACTGAGCCATCCCCCCCCCCAACTCTCTGCTTGCCTATGGCGTTATAATCTATCTTATCAACAGTGCAAATTAGTACAGTCCTAAACATCCTAGCCATAGCAGAATTGATTAGCTCTAACAGAACAGAAGCTGTCAAAGGGCAACAGTTTAAACCACTGGCACACCTCTTGCCCCACTCATTCACATTAGTGTTTCTGAAAGGGTTTAAACAGCTTCCCACGATCGTTTTTCTCCTATACCCTTAAACATCACCAGCAGTCAAGTATATATTTACAGGTTGTGCGCATCCACACGCAGTTAATGGCAAAACATTTTCTGTGAGCAGCTGGATTTCAGTTATGGGATTGCTATAACTGAAACATCACATTAGTTATATCACCTATCTCAAACTAACCCATCAGTGAAGGCAACTATAAGCTTACAAATAGCAGATACAGTTTTTTCCTAAAGTACAAGGGTGAGAGTTTTGTAGAAGAAAGTGCTCTTGAAGAGCCCTTAAATCAGTTAAGCAATGGCTATTCAAATGATAAAGTATCCTAGTATTACAATCACAGGTAGTGATCCTAAGGCACATCAGCCACATGCATATGCAACAATGCATTGTTTTGCTCTCCACAGAAAAACTGCATTAGCTTTGTCTGTATTTAGTTAGCACAACAGTTTGTTTTTAGATAAAGTATCCCTGAAAGGTCTCGTTATCACAAAAGTTACCAAAAGACAGAAAATTTAACAGGTAGTAAAAATACTTTCGAACTACTAACACCAATAAAGTTAGGTACACAAAATGCAGTGCAAAATCACAGTACACTTACCTATCACCTCCGTGACTTCTGAGGATCTGCAACTCTCAGAAAAAAAGTTGGCACTGGATAAGTGTAAAATATACCTGGCTGTTTTTATTAAATGCTAGCAAAACTGATTGGAGAGTGTTGTGGAGTTGGTGTAGCAGGCTCCATGTATGGATCTCTGTACTCAGTCACCACCCCAGGAGCTCCCAGCCACCTTTCTTCTTCCTAGGACACAAATCCTTTCTACAGCAGATTTATATTTAGCGTTCAGACACAACAGTTGCCATCCAAATACCAGCACTAAAAGCACAGCAAAATTGTTTTGAAACGTGTCATAATTAACCATGCTTACACAAAGCTTCAATGATAAAATAATATCAAGAAAAGAAGATATTACGCTATTGTGAAAAACACATCTTGTACCATCACTAGATTACAGAGAAAACACACTTTGCAAACAAATCCAATGCACGTTGCTTCACAAACTCCCCCATCTACAGAAACTTTCCAGATCTACACTGGGGAATGGGTTTAGATGCCAGTCACAGTGACCAGCCTTCTGCCCTTTGTCATCAGAAGGCAAAGCAAGCCAAATAACTGTATTTTCGGAACAGACAGCTTCCTGTTATGAGATTAATTTCAGATTAGTACTTGCTTGCAACCACCACACTCCAGAGGAAATGATTAAGGGACAATCTAGGGCCTCACATAAAGAAAAACAAGATCAGATGTTGTATTTTGACTGAAGCTGTTTGTAGTGCAGTCTTCCAAACTACGCAGCGTATTCCAGGACAACGATAAGGAAGTGTTTTAAATAATAGAGAAGATATGTGACAAATTCTGGATGATGCCTTTCTTAAACTGCCATGAAGTAGTCGGATGTTTTTTTTTTGCAGAAGTGACAGTTAATCTGTGCTCCTATTCTGCATGAGCAACAAGTGTTGAGAGTCGCCTCCCCTGCTGCAGGATTCCATTACCAGCACGCACCTGCACCTCAGGCTTCCAGAGTCATACTGAGAATGAAACAGGCCCTGCCATAGGAAGCCTCCCCCTCTGGAGGCACAAAAAGCCAAGAGCAGATTATGTAAGAGGCAAATAGCAACCACAGAACTCAAAAACCTCCTCTGTTGTGACTTCTCGCATGGAGAAATATTAACTGCAAATTCCAAATAGACAGGCGTGCCAAGAACTGCACAACGAAATTGTGGGCAATTACATGATAGGAAAATCCAATACTTAACTAAGAAAATACCCTGCCTAAATTCCTGGAATCACATGATATGAAAAGCTAAGCACCAGTTTAAATTAAAAGAACAAAACAATCACTTCTGTATGCAGGGTATGGAAGAGGAAAAAAAACAAAAACATAAGAAAGTCTCAAAAGGTAAAGAAATAGAAATGCCTGTTGAAGTCTCTCTAAACTCTGAACTGCCTGTACAATTTAGATAAATTTCAAGAGACCAGGACTCTCAGGATACCAGCTATTCAGGAATGGGAAGAGCGTGTACTTTTATTTTGAAAAGTCTAAGGTAACAACTGAAATGTAGAAACAAAACTCCTGTAACTTTCAATATTTAAAAAGAACTTTATCCAACAACAGCTTCACCTCAGTGAGTTCGCTGTGCACCTGGCCAGAACTGCCACTGTCTGGGTGCACTGCAAAAGCTGCTATTGAGGTCCATTAAAACTCTTCACCCAGGATTCAGATATGGCTGTTACCACACAAACACTGGCACTGACAGAGAATTCTTTAGGGAGACAAACAGCTCCTGGTTTGCCACACGCACATCCAGCTGCAACGGGAACACACCAGAACAGAACAGGACACTGATCTGCCATCGCTAAAGAATTCAGAAAGATTTATAAAATCAGGAAATCCACTGTGCACTCCTGCACATAGAGCCCTTACCACCTTCCTAGAAAATCCTCGTTGCCACTGATATTTGAAAACAATAACATCCACCAGACACAATTTCAGACCTCTGTGCCAGAGCTCAAATTTTATACTCTATTGTGCAAAAAAATAGAGGCTTTCCACTGCCTACGTTAAGTCTCTGACAGGGGGAGAAAAAGGAACAGTAAGCACCAATACGTAAGTCAGGCGCACCAAAATATTCACTGGAGGATAAAACCAGGATGTGGTGGAAAGCGAGGCGGTCTTTGGGGAAGAGCTGGAGGATACTGTGGTACAAACTGAGATGGGCAGCCTGGCTGTGGCAACTGACTCGCGGCCTGAGCTCCAGCTCGAGGTGGGAGAGGAGGATACGGAGCACCTGGATAAGAAACGGCTGGTCCTGAACTCGCGGCCGCAGTAAACGGAGTAGGAAAGCGTCCTGCTGGGACGGAAGGAGGAGGGGGAGGTATTCGTCGGGGTGCAGCTGAAGGAGGAGGGTTTGCATCCGAAGTGTAGGAATCTTGAGGTGCTGGCGTTGCGTCGGCTGCCCGCGGCTGAGGCTGCGGCGGTGGAAGTCTTTGTCCCTTGAGCACCATCTCTTGGAGCTTCTCGATTTTCACCCGCCGCAGGTGAGCCAGCTTTCGCTTGCTCTGGTACTCATCAATGAAGGAATCCAGGGGGATTTCGCCATCAAGAAATTTTTCCGCCATGTTCTGTCAAATATGGGATAACCTCTTAGAAATCAGCACGCTCCAAGGCAATCTAAAGAGCTCCAGCCTAAAAATAACGTTCTGCCTCTGATTCCCCATGTGCACGCGCACAATGATGAGCATGCTAAGAACTGTGAGCAGGATTTTGAAGCAGTTATTACTCAGATGCACCGGGAGCTAAATACCATTTTAACTGAAATTTATACAGAAGTACCAGCAGTACGAACATCTGAATTTAGCTCTGATCATTCCCTTGATCATCAGAGACAGGACTGAACCGAGCGCAACAGCTTTCCAGATTGCCAGCAAAGCTGAATCACAGTTTAGAACTGTTTGCAATGCCAACAGAAACATGGAGAACTCAGCACAGGGAGGCAGATTATTGCTAAGGCAGGTTTAAGACTCATGCTTACTTGCAGCAAAGCAAACCTTTGGGTAAATGATGCTTTAATAATTAAAAGACGTGACCACACATATAATCATGAAATTCAACTCGTCCTGGGAACATCTTTTTGTAATCACAACTCAGGGCCAAAAAGATCTTTTCCCTGATGCTATGTAGTTATAGAGAACGTCCTACAGGCAGATCTGCAAACAAAACTAACCACTTCCACTGCTCTAAAAATAAACCACCCATCAAGCACTCATATCCCAGCAAGCAGTGACCACTGGCATCTAGACAGATACGTTGAAATCACAATGGAATATTCCACCAGAACTGCTACAAAATCAGCCCTCCCATCCTACAAACCGTCACAGGCACAGTCTTTCATTAGGTTAATAATTGACATTTGTAATGGATCAATACATACACCAGGCAGACACCATTAAAAAGATTTCCACGCTCATTCGTTATTAGTTTGAAGGCAGTGCCAAGGAACTAAGAGGGTTTGGCTTTCATTGCTGAAAAACAGCATCTTCTTAAACTTCAATGGGCTCAAGAGCAAAAAATTACTCAAAGAAATCTCACTGAAATCAAATGACTGTTAATGACATTCAAAGCAAAGACCAAATCATATTTTCAAAAACATCCCTTTAGATTATTACATGTTCAACAGTATACTTCAGCTATGCACACCCAAAATCTTCACTAATGGTTAAAAGGTTAGAAATGGTTAGAAAGAACTGAAATGTACTGTCCTTTCCTTACCTCTGTGTCTTCCTCAATCTTAGCCCCCTCGGTCTGAAGGAGAGCTAGCAGTGTCTCCAGTGAGGCATTACTGGATTGTCTATCTGCAATGGCATGAAAAGAATAAATCACAGCTGTTTGTATGTGACTTCTAAATGAAGCTATAAAGTGTCAGCCAGCACAGAAATTGTCTGCAGTGCGTATGTACAAACAGCATGCTCTCATGTTTTAGATGGGGTGATCTACAGTGAGAAAATACAACATTTAAGTAGTTTAAGAATATAAGCACAGTGCTACAAAGCTGTGATTTAATTCTAATTTTATGTTCACAATAATGAAAGAAATCACCTTCAGAAGTGCAGAATCAGATGCACAATGCTTCATAATTCAGTATGGAATGAGAACGTTAAGTACAAGAATGTTTGCTTTATGATTAATCACAGAGAATTCAAATCGTGTTTTGCTTTTAAACTAGGTGGACAAATTCAGTCGTTTAGACAACAAGAGCTAGGTAACCACAGCAGGAACAGAAAGAATCCACAGCGTGTTTCTGGGTGGAACAGATCCTTAGCAATGATCTAGCTCCGAGCTTTGTGAGAATGACATTTCATTTCTTACCTTAACTTATAAAGCTAAAAATGACAGCATGCAAAAATAACAAAGCGCACAACAGCTTTCAGATTCACTGATAGAACGGCCAATCATCATAATCAACTGGAAACGTTACCTAATTTTGTTTTCTTTATCTGGTATGCTTCAAAAAGGACTTGCAGCTCTTGATATTTTTGAGTCAAAGTTGCTTTCAAAGACTCCAACTTTGGCTGGTACAGAAGATTGCCTTCTGCCAGACTGCGGTTGCTGGCGAGTGTCATGTCCTTGCTGTGCTGAACATTTTGGGCCTGCAAGAAGAAAGGTCCATGAAATGACAGTGCAAACATTAAGCAGCATTAATGGTTATGTAGACAACTGCAGAATTTTGAAACATGAACGGCAGAAAAAGGCAATTTTTGGAGTGAGCACAACTGCATCAAACCTGAAATGATGCTTTTGGACTTGTTGTAGTTTGCTCATACCTACATATGCTCACAATTTCATCAAGGCAGCCTTCATGAGCTTTGGGGAAGCCAGGTTTGCAGAATTCTGCCCAGGATGTCACATTAGAGTCATTAAAAGATTCAGACAGGAAAAAAAAAAACAAACCAAACAACAAACAAACCAGGGAATAAAAAGCAAGGGATCCAATTTCAGTCTGACTCAACAAGTGGGACAACTTTCCCATGGCACAACAGACAGATTCTGTTAATTCACCCTCAAAATCAATGACACATTGGTGCACTTTTTGTGACCTCCTACACCAATACGCCCCTTGTACAGGGCAGAAGTGGAAAACACAGTGCCTTCCTCTTTTCATGCTCACAGGCTGAGACAGGAGTGCCACAGCTTTGAGAAAGAGGAAACCTGAACAAGCTATTGACAGCCCCTGAAAGTGAGGGGGTCAGAACTCAGGTATTCTTGGCACTCTGGGCACACTGGGAGGTGCAGCAGGTGAAAATATTTCCCGAGTGTACAACAGTATCTTCAAAAGCACTTCCTTTAGGAACATTTATACGCCACTTTAATCTGCTAAACTTCACATTTGGCTTAGATACACCTTTGGCCCCAGATACTGCTCCTGAAATACCAAAGTTGCACTTTCTTTTCCCCAGTTCTTGCAAAGCAACTTAAAAAAAAAAAAAAATCATAAAGGATAATGCTGAGTCCTAAAGACTGCATCAATCAGAAGAGAATTCTGTTCCCAAGTTGTACAAATGGGAGAAACTGGCTTTGTAACACAGTTTTGCCTTCTCAGGATCCTCACATCAAGCCTCAACACTTTCCAATCCTCTGCTTGTCTGTAACTTGAACACTTTCCAAGAATAAAAAGAGAACTCTCTCTTCTCACTTTCAAATCCAATGCAAACTAATATAAACTGGTTGCTTTCGTGTGTTTGTTCCCACATGATCCAACTCTGCTAGACTCGCTTTTCAAAAGCTGAAGTCCCTGTTTTACAATATTTTCCTAACTATTATGAGTGGAACCAAAAAGCATGCTATTTCACAGCTTTATGACAGCTGAACTGACACCCAGCTTCTTACCAACCAACCTCCCTCCACCACAGGTTTTGTTACTGAGCTGCCTTCTGCACTGCCAATGACTGCACTAAAAGATTAATGCTTTCTGACTCCGCTCCTCTTTCAGCTCCTTAATGAGCAAACGACTTCCTTCGAGCAACTCAGATTTGATCTGGTGATTGCATTTTCTCAGCTCGTAAGGCTGATGCTCTCATTTCAAAGCAGCTGTGCAGTCAGCCTGGGAGGACCAGTTTTATGGGTGGACTTTGATCTTTCTTTGGGATGAAGACGTTAGGTACATTTTTGCTAGTGGAAAAAAGGGTGGAATGAAAGATACACAAACCTATAAACGTTTCAAGTACAACTCCCAGGGAAAGTAAATTGCTTAAATCATATGTTATAAGGAAGCGAAGAAAGGCAGAATAACAGAAGAAGCTCTCATGCACCCTGACTGACGTCCTCGGTCAGATTGTGAAGGAGGAAACACCCAACTTTCTACAAGGACTTTCTGAGGGACTTTTACAGCATGATGGATCTGTAAAGATGAATAAATATCCTCATAACAGGATGTATCTTGTAAATATACGGAACAGTCAGTACTACGACAGCACTTGTAAAGACATATTTACCCGGCTTGATGGCAAACAAGCAAAGGTGATCCAGCTAGGTGTAACAGGGAGCGATTCCCTCTGCTATCTCAACCTACTGACATCTAATCCTTGTGGCCTAATGCATGTTTAGGTGAAAGCCTAATATAGGTTAGCTTAAAGCAGAAGAAAAGTTGACACATTCTTAGTTTTCTTGAAATTACACAGGACTCAGTGACTCAAGGCTTTCCACAAGCTGCTAACAAGGGCACACTTTTCTGCAGAAGTTGATCAAAAACAGGATTCACACGTCATGATCAGGTGTCCTCACTTCCAGCGTTACACTCTGTGTCACATTTCTTTTCTAAAATATTCTGTTGAATAGATGAGACACTTGTATAGAATCTTGTTTAAAACTGTGAGAAGAAGCAAGCCTTCAATCACAAGGCAAACCAAAGAACAGCTTATTTCCAAAGCAAAGGGGAAGACTCATTCATTTGTATGGGATGTTGAACCAGGAGGTGAATGCTTCACCTCTGGCAAAAGTTTGAAGTTTGTGGAGGGACGAAATTCTGTTCGTAACAAATAGAACAAACCAAAGCAACTTGAATACAATCACAATTTAAAAAAAAACAGAATCATATCTGGCATGGATGAGAGTTCAGTTTAATAATCTTTCCTGCAAATGTTCCGCTACTTAGGAGTAAATTCAAGGAATCCAAAAAGCAAATATGTAACCTAAATAGCCCTAAAGAAAAACTTCCAAAGAGTGGACCGACTCAAAAACCAACAAACACAGAGTTACAAAATAACATGAGCATCAAAGGAGCAGTGCAGCACCATCAGCTCATTAAGATCACCAGCAGAGCACAACGTATGCCCTCCGCATCGCTTCACGGCTTTCACGAGCCCAGCACAACAGCTGCAACCGGAGAGGCAAGGAATAAATCCAACCTGAGTTCTTCTGTTGTCAGACCTGTTGTGTGACAAAAAAATTGATACAGAAGGGAACTGCTGCACTGCATCAAATGTTCACCTGCCCCAACGGAAGCAGCAAGCAAACAGCACACAGCCAGCGGAATTGCTAACGAGACTTTGAGGTCATGAGCACTTCAGCAAGCAGGAAACCTTGATCTTCAAACAGATGAAAAATACCAGTCAGAATTATGATACATAACGAGACAGGATGATGGTACTACTTTTTTTTTTTCTTTTTACTTTTGAGGTCTCCCCATGAATCCTAATTGGGGCAAACAGAGCAGATGAACCGAGTGGAGCACTCTGAGACCAAACTGCACGCACAGCAAGGTTAACAAAGCCAAATTCAGCTTTGTGCAGCCCTTCTAATATTCAGGTGCTTAAAAAGTTCCCAAGTCACCTACTGATACTTCCAAAAAGAAGTCTCTTAAGGAGCTACAAATAAAACAACAACAACAAAAAAAACCCACACCCAAACAAACTATCCAACTGTTCCATTTCGATTGCTTTATAGATAGCAGACATCCACACTTTCGTTTCAGGTTTCTCTGGTCTTTTTCCAGCCTTTATCATTCCCACATTCTTTCTTCCATTTTTTAGGGACAAAGCTTGCCGTCACTCTGCAGAAGTGCAACTGTGCACATTGGGAGTGGCAAATTAACCCCTGAAATAGGAGCTAACAGGTGCAGGGGAGGAGAATAAAGACTTCTGGTACAGAAAACGTATGAGAGCTTTTCATCAAACGCTGGTATGCTGAATGATAATACAGCTTCTAACAGCACCAGCTTGGTAATAAATATTAATACATAATCCAAAGTAATTAGATTTGCTAAATTTAGGTCTCCCAATTATGCACGCAGTGGTTTTAAAAACGAGGAAATAAAGGTTAAGAGGCGAGTTTCAATTCCTGGGTGTTTGCTTCAGAGGAAGGCGGTGCACAGAGCCGCAATTGGTGCCATTACACGCAGGCAGGTTATCATCAGATGCTTTGCTGGAACACAGAACTCCGTCATTGTCACCACGTCTAAACCCTAACTCTGCAGCTAAATTTCACGTTTGGCAAACAAGAACACAACCACTTACACCATGTGGTTTTGGGGCAGGATGAGGAATCCGGGCATGCGTTCACACAGCTTGAACTTGGACTTTTCCTTTAAACAGTTTTTGAGAACGGGATAACACTGAAAACCCCTCCTGTGCTTGCCAGTGTACTCCAAAATGCTGGAGCAAGAGGAAGGCAATACATTTTTTGATGACTCCATTTCACATCATTAAGGTCTTGAAAAGCAAACAACTTTTGGCAGCAGAACTCGAGCACGCAGTAACACAATGCTGCACTGTTCCTAAAGCAACGTTCCAGCACAGGTCAAGAGAAAACCAATTCTCACCACAGAAATTCATCGAAGCACCACCAGTATCACATCACAAACTTGCTGGGACTGACTTTTATGAACAATGTGCTTTTATTTCGTGAAGATGAATCCTGTCAATGTACAGCAGAGATTAACCTCAAAGGATTATCACAAAAACTCCTCCGTTTTAAAAGCCTGGGAGTACCAGACAATTGGCTTCCTTCCTCTTTCCAATAGACAAGATGTTCCTTGTTCAGGAGCTGGAAGCCCAGAGGCTTCAAAAACAACCTTACAGACAGAAAAAGGATCTTAGCTCTTTGATGCCCTGTTTTCACATACCTGGGGCTATGATGCACAGGTCACTGTAGAGGCATATTACCCCAGTGAAATATATACGTGTGCACAGCCAGACAGATTTTATATATATAGATAGACAGATATGTGCATACACCCCCATGATGACACATACAAATGCTGCTCAAGTGCTGCACACTCCCTTTAGGGCTGGGAAAGAGCCTATTTTTAGCTATTAGCAAGAAAGCCAAGTGATTTTCCAAATCCTCCTCTTTGTGAACAAAACATTGTTTTTTTGAGCTGGGTTTCCCTTGCAACAAGGAGTACAAAGGTTTCTTCCATTATGAAATAATCAGCTTTAGCCAATTTTGCCACTGAAAATACAAGTGACCTCAAAGGAGTGACTCAGGAACCACAATTTAGTTAGTGTGCCCCATTTAAGTTATCAATTTAAGGACTTTGGAACAACCCTATGACAAAGGTACACACAGACCGAAAATGAGATTTCTACACAAGCAGCAGTGAAGTCAGCACAGTTCCTCCTTAATGCTCAGGATTTCCCTCTCCCTCTTCCTGCTGCATACTTCACAGCGCAAAACTGGAACCCAGCAGCACAAAGCCAGAGAGCAAAACCTTCAATGAAGGCAAAAACAGAATGAGGACGAAGCATCCAAGAATGGCCACTTCCAAGATGTACAAACACTTTTGAGTTGGACAGGCTCTACTAAAAGCCTCCGTGCACAACAAAAGAGGATTACAGCAGACAGTAATGTCGCTGTATTTCCACACAGCTCAAATACCTTCAAACCTAGCCACACTTTCCAAACACCACAAAATATTCCCTCGGGCCCAGAGAACTTTACTCTACAATTTAAAAGCCTCCTGCTGCCAACTAAAGAGGAAAGCTGGAGGGTCACATTGTGAATATGCTCTAATTCTGCAGTAAAAGAGAATCTTTGTACTGAGGTCATGAGTCTGTTGCTGCTTCTGATCTAGTCTGAAGCACGTATTGACAAGAAACAAGCAGACTGCTGAGTGAGGCCACCTACCAGTATACCTGGACAGAGGTTACATGAAATCAGTGATACTGCACCCAGCTAAAGCCACATCTGCACTGAGCTAAAGCCCGTTACAACCTGTTGACTTTCCCTAAATATTTTGTCTTTACACAGAAAGGTTCTCCTGCCTCCCATCAACCCACCAGCATCTCTAAGGTCTTTCCCCGCTTTACTCTTTTACAGCAGTATCAGTATCTTCAACAGTTTCCTAAGTTTTCATATAAGCTTGTATTTTGAGAAGCCGTTACACTCAGCCTCAATGCACAAATCTATTTACACAAAGGGCAGAAGATAGACAGCACAGCAAGAACCCTGGGTCACCTTCCTGCCCCAGTCCAGCCCTGCAGGGCCGCCCCACCTGTGACTCCTCAGCAGTTTGCTTGGAGGTCACCCAGAACGATTTCCTTGGAAGCACCAAAATAGGTTACAGCTACAAGAATTTTTCCCTGGGACTTCTTTACATTGAAGCAAAAGGAATTAATACAAGAGCCAGAGAAGCAGAGAACATTTCTTTCAAAATCTTCACGTAAGCTGTTTCGTATTTGCTGCTGGCCAATCTTTTAGGAATGTTTGCTGGGAGAGACTCCATCAACACCATAATACAGCGTTCACTGGCACACAGAAAACCCCATAAAGGAGGAAGGCAGCAGCACGAAGCACACGGGTTATTTAACGTGAACAAGCGCAGCCCCAGACGTACGGCACGGAGGCTGACACGCTGACAAAGACATTCCGAGAGCAGAGGAGCAGCAGCAGGCCGGGCAGCCCCGCACAGAGCCGCTCTTCTCACGGTCCGAGGGCTGGGACAGCCAGAACGCCCTTGACAGAACCCCTCCTGCTGGCCCAGGCGTGAAAAAAAGGGCTGCATTAAACGGAGGAAGCGGGGATAAACAGGAAAAAAATAAGGGAGGAAATAAAAGAAAGGGCAAGGGGGAGTTGGGGGGGGGGGAGACCCAACAAGGGAAAAAAACAACCGAGAACAAATAGGGAAAAACGCGGTGCCACTCTCACTCCGGCGGCGGCTCCTCAGCAGCAGGCGGGCGCTGTCAGCCCCCCCCGGCCCGGCCGCCGCACAATGGCCGGGAGGACGGAGGGGAGAAGGGGGGAACGGGCGGCCGAGCCCCGGGGCTCCCCGAGGGCAAATCGCATCCCGGAGGTCCGACAGCGCAGCGCTCCGCTCACCTCTTCCATCTCGCGGGCCATGCCCTGCAGCCGCTCCTCATCGTCCAGCAGCGCGCTGAGCTCCTGCAGGCTCAGCCCCTCCAGCCGCCCCGCGTCCAGCGCCATGGCGGCGCGGTCCCGCTCCCGCCGACCGGAAGTGCCTCGGCCCCTCCGCCCCGGCCCCGCCGGGCACCGCCCTGGGCGCCCCCTGCCGGGGGGGCGGAGCGGCAGCGGGAGGGGAGGAGAAGGCCGGGCCGCGCCGCCGCGGGGGGGCGGCACCCAAAGAGCGGGAAGCGGGACGGTGTGTCCGCAGCGCCGGGCCCTCGGCGCCGAGCGCGTTGTCCGCCTCGATCTTCGACGCCCTCGCGGTGCTGGCTGCGCTCGGTGTCGTGCGGTGCCTCCGCGCAGTGCCTCAGAGACGCGCTGGCGGTCGGTGGGCGCCCGTGTGCAGCTGTGAGTGAGGAGGGAAATCGGTGTAACTGTTGAACTCGCGCTTCCTCCCCGGGCTGGGACGTGGTCACAGTGAAGCACAAAAGAGGGATTGCGTTATTGTTTGAGGCTGAATACCCATTTAGGTTAAAAATAGCTAAACATGGTATCTTGCCCAGCTTTGGTGCTGCCCCTTTGTCCACCTTAAGCACTTTCTTCAAGCGTGAAGGTCAAGAAGTGATCTAACAAAGATGTGTTTCATAGAGGTGTTTTAAACAAGGAAGTATTTTAAAAGAAGTATTTTTACAGGCTGAGAGAGCTGGGGCTGCACAGCATGGAGGAGAGGGGAGAGCTGAGAGTGGGCTGCCTGTCTGATGGGGCTGTGAGAGAGGAAGGATGGCTCTTTAGCAGGGCCTGTTGTGAAAGGACAAGGGGAAATGGCTTCAAACTTAAAGACGGGAGATTTAGACTGGGTAAAAGGAATAAGTTTTTATAAGAAGGGTGATGAGGCACTGCACAGGGTGCCCAGAGGAGTGGTGGTGTGCCATCCCTGCAGATAGCCACGGTCAGGGGACGGGGCTGTGAGCACCGATGGAGCTGTGGGCGTCCCTGTGCACTGCAGGCAGTGGGACTACATGACCTTTAAAGGTCCCTTCCGACTGGAATGATTCAGTGAATCTACACCTGCAAAAGTGCATATCATCACCACTTTGCTGTGTGCTCTGTGGTAACACTTGGGAGCAGCAGCTCTCCAATTACCGCTGATGATAGCATGGCTGATGCATACAATTATGCCTGGAAATAATTAATTGTGTTAGCGTAGCTGAGATTGTATGCATTTCTGGGCACGCACCACCTCCTGCACTGGTTCTGTGGCTGATTGTGGGTGTGCTGGTTCCCATAAGTGTGACTGCAGAGAGAACCAGGATGAGCCAAAGGAGCCGGATAGGAAATGGCTGTGTGGCACTATCCTTGGTGTTTAGCATTTTTGATCTAACTGAAAAATCATACCGTAAACTGAATCAATCTCTGTTGTAATCCTATCTAGTTATAATGACATGAGTCTCATTCAGACCCAGTACCTCTTGGCAGACCTGAATGAAGACATGACAGCTGTATATTTGAGGTTTGTCCTGCAACTAAACTCAGCTGTCTGTTATCCCACAGGTCCTAGGACCAGCAATTCGTCACAGTTCATCCGAGTGTGTTGCAAGTAGAGCACACCCAGAGGCAGGTAGGAAAGACCCGTGCACCTGGCAGCTGTGCTTGCTGAGGGTGGGGAGAACACAATTAAAGATATGGGCATGTGTCCGTTCCTCCACGTCAGCATGCCCATGTGGTGCTGTGGTATGTGCTGTGCTGTTCCTCATGTGGGTGCTTTCCTCAGGGCAAAGATGAGCAAGCAGCTGTACCCTTTGGTGGTGACATGAGTATTCACAGCCTGACTTTGATACTTAAACCAGGAGATAGCTGCAATGCCAACATGATGTCATACAGTGTGTTTGCACATGCCTGTCAAAAATGCAGTCACACTCTGCTGTTACCCCATTCTGTACATCTGTGCACACATACAAATACACATATGCACACATATATAAACAGGAATTAGTTGAGGAGTTAAAAGAAAGCCCTTCTTCTCAAGGATGATTTTAGCATAACATAGCTAGATAATTGGCATGGGGAAGTGTGGTTTAGAAGAGTCTGACTCAGCTTCATGTTGTAAATCTAGTCTTGCCACTGCCTTTCCGTGTGATCCTGAATGCTCTCAGCTTCTCTTAACCATAGGCCTTTTGCTTAAAATGAAAATTAATAATAACTGCTCAGTCCCACACTGAGGGTGGAGAGGGGGAGCTCACACTGAGTAATGCTTCTAGAGGTACTGAGGGTGAGTATCTCTGGGGAAGGGTACTGTTATCATTGTTATTACTGCATTGTCAACATGCTGTCAGGAAAGATGGTTCAATATTGCAGTGATCTTCTAAGGGGATCTGCTTTGTTTTATTGCTCTAGTTATTATGGAATAGATTATTTGAATCTGTCAATGGTAATAAGTACTAAATTAGTTAAGAGTCTCATCAAGTAGAACAATGAAGTCTTGACAAAACATAGCACAAGGAAAACATAATTTATTTGTGCTCAAGTACAACAAATCTTGAAAACACACATATGTCTATGCAGGTAAGTTTGGGTGCTGGAGATGTCAGAGAGGAGTGTCAGTATTAAACATCTGGTGCTTGTTAGTACTTTGATCAGCACCTGTGAGTTTGGCCAGAAAAGCAACAGAAGTTGAGAGACAAAATAAAGGTCAGCTGCTTTGGAATATGTATTCTACTTGGGCAGGTTGGAAGCTGGCTTTCAACTCAGCAGCTTTCTTGAAAGGTTTTGTGGCAGCTCATCACTTGGGCAGAATGTGAAGAATAGAAGATAAAGCAGGATTTTTGGCCACAGGGATCGTCAAATAATGGAGTATATCTGAGATTTATCAGATTTATCCAAGCCCTGAATCCTCTTTACTTTTGCTAAAACCCTTTCAAAAGGTGACAGTATTCATGAACATTAAAAATGAAAGCAGGCAAAGTACAGAAGTTGTGATTTCTTATTAGAGGAGAAGTAGAACAAAAAACATTCAGAACACTACAGTGGAAGACATGTCATGATTAATAAGGAGTCAGGCTTCAGTCATGGGGAGAGCTGGCATCCAGCCCAGTTTAATTTTAATTTAAATGTTAGATTCTTTTTTTTTTTTTTTCTTTTTAAATCTGATCCTGGATTTTGTTCTGTCATCTCGTATTCTTTTACAGTCAGTAGCCCTATGTGTATGCATAGTTATTATATTTAGACATATTTTGCAAGTCACCTTCACAACAACTTCTTTCCTTTTCCTGGAAAAACTGGTTGGTTATGTAGAGACTGAATTTGCAAGTCTAATCTTTGGAGTTTATTAACCCTTATTAGACTGGTTGCTCAATAGTTAGGTAAGTTCTCAGGCTTATTTGCAATTTAATTTCCTTTTATTTTGAAGTCCATGTTTCTGTCTAGATTTTATGATTTAAATTCCTTCACATATGAAAAAGACCTGCATATTCAGCATTCTGGAAGACGAGGAGTAGTTCTGTTGGAAAGAGCAAGAATTAACTGTCAGTGCTTTTTCCACTCAGGAATCCACAGGCATGAAAAGAGAAACAGGTTTTATACCTGCATCTGCATTCCTTGGGCTCACAGTAAAGCTAGAGCAGAAAGGGCAGACTAAGATGCAGCTCTGAACCTGAACTGGAAACACTCTGAGTATTTGCTTGTGGTATTTCCAGACCTGCCAAAGACCTAGAAAGCCCAGCCACTGAAACACACACAGCTGCATACTGAGGCAGATTTTGGTGCACTGGGAGATGAGTTGCTGAAACAAACATGGCTGTGTTTTTTTCCATCACGCTGCGTTTCAGTTTACTGGGGCACTCAGCCACACACTTCATCTGTGCAAAGGTACAAAGGTCAACGTGTGTCTTTGGAGGATGGCTGAAACTATAGGATCTACTATTGAACTTTGTCTTGGATAAGGCCCTCCAATGTTTAAATCAAATCAGTCTCTGGCTGTAGGTATTACAGGATCCGTTCTTGAACTTTATCTTAGATAGGGCTCTCTAATAATTAATAAATCTGTGGTTAGACATATTAGAGAATGGTTTAAGCTTATTAACAGTGTGGAAAACAACCTGCTATGGAGCACAGAGTCAACCTTTTCAGTCATGTATGCTGTCAGGTGACTCACTGTTTCCAGCTCTGCCATGATGGTCGTCAAGGTGCACTCCACAAGCTAAGGTTTCAGATAAACCCATCTGAGTTCCCTTTGAGAAGAAACTTATCTGCATCACTGTCATCAGCAAGTGCCTGAACAGTCTTTTTTGTGTTCCCATGTAAACATCAGCTCTGGGCAAACCCACAGCCATAAAATACTGCACTGCAGGCTTTCAGAGGGAACAGTGGCCTTATTTCCAGACTGTACAGATTGCCCACAGACAGTGTGGCCCAAAGACTTGCAGCAAACAGGTTCCAGCACTAAAGGAACTGCCACTGTTGCACCAAGGTAAGCGCATCCTCACTGCTGGGCTTAGTTTGGCCAACAGGCACCTCTGACCCCAGTTATCACATCACAGACATATTCTGAGGTGGTGGCAGATTTGTGAGGTAGGGGGGACCCATCATAAAAAGAAATCTGGAATGATTTTGAAAAGCAGGATTTTCAGTAGTCACAGGATTTGTACTGGTTTGGCCAGCAGAAATGCCTGCGTTAGATTAGTACTGCTGGATGGAAAACCCTCATAGCTTTGGCATGCACGCAGATCCACTTGTCACATGCCAACAGAACAATAAAATAACTTGTAAAGCTCAAGGGAAAAGCAGCCTTGAGTTATCTGGATGCAAAAGACAGAATTCAGCACCCGCAGCAATGCACAAAATCAGTTCCTGTTATCAGCTTGGCCTGGAGCCACTAGCAGAGACAAGCTGCTCTTTCTGTGTGTCATTTCAGTTGAAGCTTTTTGGATTTTGGAGTACAGTGCTGGGATTATTGGCACACCGGGGTTGGGAAGCAGGGATCCCTTCTCAAAATTTCCTGTAGCCTTTGCAATAAAACTAATCCCTGCATATCCTTCAACTCCCCTTCTTGCAGCACTGCCTGGTGGGGCACACAGGATAGGATCTCCTCTTTTCTGCC